GATTTTGGCCCGTTTTAACAATGTCGTTTAAAATAAATGTAAGGGAAAAGCAAGTGGACCGAGATCCTTGAGGAACACCAGCCCTGACGTAAAGAAGAAAAGATGATGATCCTTAGACAGCGACTCTTTTCGCTGCCTTTTTGTAATAAGTAGCTTTGTAACCAAAGAAATAAATCTCTACGAATTCCAACAGATGACAATTTAGTAATGAGTCCTTTGTGCCAAACCCGATCAAAAGCTTTGCTTATATGCACAAATATACGGTTCTACTTTCCGCTTTCCATTTTCCTATTGCTTCACAAAAAGAATTATAAATGACTGATAGTTGGTTAATAGTTGAGTTGCCCTGGCGGAAACCAGACTGATATTCTGTTAAAATGTTGTTGCTAATTAAATGACGTCATTTAAAACACGCGACTTGTCTTACATGGGTGGTGACTGACAGGTTTTTCTAGCACCGGTGTAAACGGTAGATAATCCTGTCTGATATGCAAGAATATAGGACTCTTACACTGGCTGCCGGTACAGACCATCATTTCGGCTGAAATGACGTCATCCTTAGAACGCAAGCCATTCATAAAAGGCGCGCGGCAATGACTTCGTTCGACTTGTGTAACAATGGGGGGGGGGGGGGGTAAACAGGGTTTTCTGGCACCGGTGTAAACGGTAGATAATCCTATTTAATATGCAAGAAAGATAAAAATAACAAATAATGTAGAAAAGCATGTTGTACGAAAGTACAATTACAATTATAAACCCCATGTTTTATATTTACAGAAATCAGTCGCAGCACTCCATTTTGTTTGTTGACAGTTGGATTAAACAATGGTAAAAATTAATTGATTTATTAAATTTATAAATAAATTGTTTCGAACCATTCAGTACGTATATGTGATTGGAAAAAATAGATATACGAAAATCATAGAAATTTCTAGAGAGAAAATAAAAAGCACACAATATCGCTATCAAACAAAATCTGGCAAAGAAGAATATCTTAAAATTTGCTCTGTTTTTAAAAAGCGTGGTGTCTAAGTAAAGGCGCGATGCACTTGGTATTTCAAGAAAATTTAAAATAGTTTTTACTAAAACCAAAAAATGAAGAAATGGGAACAGTTTCCAGGAGTGTTTCATTTCTGATTTAAAATGTTGAAATTATGTAATTATGATTTAGATTAGTGTCTTTAATGATTATATTTACTTGCAGATACATTAGATGTTTTTCAAAGATTTATACAGACATATTCTATATTACAGACTCTTGAGTTCTGTTTAAAACAAAATATCTTGACCTCATATCAGAAATTTTAGACGTTACGAACGAAATTAAACAGGAAGCTATAATTGGAAGATTTAATAAAATATGTGAAATGTGTAATTATCATGATATTGAAGATGAGATTAGTTTAGTTTAGTTTAGTGAAGACAAATTCATTTTAGTTTGATTGTTTTGGAAGCTATAAGTTTATTGAAACATACTCGAATCCGTTCCTGGTACCAGCCAGTACCAAGCAATGAACGTAAAGTTTCTTGCTCAAGAAACCAAAGGCTTGCCCCTAACAGGGTTTGAACCTACGCGGTCAGTAGAATCCGCGCGGTTAGCAATTCCGATGCGTTAACCACTCGTCTACGCCGCCACTCTAAGATCAAGTTTTTATTTGGGGATGTAAGTCCTTAGTATAAATGGATTAAGAAACGTTATATAGCGAGATATATATTAGTATTGATATATTAGTATTGAGATATCAGTATTGATATAAGAATGGACATACTAGCGTTGTTAGTATCAGCTAAAAATATATGTTTCAAATAAAATAACTTGTGCTGCAAGATCCAACAAAATGGTATATCAAAACATCATATTCTCTTACATAATTATTTTTATTTCTTTTATATAAAACTCAACTCTGTATTTATTTATGTAAATGATAGTTTAACTGATTTGACTTTTGAAATTATAATTTATTGTACATGTTTTTAAAAAGACGAGGAGCAAAGAGCTCAAATCTACAAAGATTTCGTTTTGTTCTATTATGTTTAATGACTATCGTTGATTATTTATGTTGTAAAGGAATGGTTATACAGTTTGGAAACATGATTAAGAAAACGTCACGAATACCCCCACTGTCATTCAACGGGTATGGAAACTATTGTGGTATGTTTGGCAGTGGAAGAGAAATGGACAACATAGACAGGTTGATATATATATTTATCACACACCCGTGCCGATTTTGCGACTCCATAAATATGGTATTGCACGGCCGTGCATATATTTTGACGTGACGTCATTAGCGTTATACAAAACATAGTGTAAAGACGCGCTAAATGTTAGCGTTATCTATAGGCGCGTCAATGAAAAATGACTTCTTATTTCAACTTTAAACGGTCTTTAGATTGGTATGTGATAAATAGAATATTAAATTCGTATAAGTTCATTAAACCTGAATTTATTGCAAAAAACTCGTTGAATAAGTAAATAGAAAGAGCACCGAAACACGAGGGCTATCTGATTTGTACGAGGGGGCGTAGCCCCGAGTATAAATCAGATTGCGAGTGTTTTGGTGTTCTTTCTCTTTGATCATAGTCAAACATGACAGCACGTTTCCCTGTTGTCAAATATGAAACCCCGGAAAAAAATTAACCAATGAAACGAGCATTTGAATATGATAGTTTGCCCCTTTCCCTTTCTCTGCCGTCACAATATGTAAACCCCGGACAAAAAATGGAACCAATCCACGGGCAATTATCTGGAGTGCGGGTAACTGATACCCGCACTCTAGTTACCGCACTGTGCATGTATATGTATACGATTTAACTCTGACACTTTTTCAACAGAAAGGTACCCAAACTATGATACAAAATAATATTATGCTCGCCAGAGGCTCGCATAATATACTTTTATTCAACTCGTGCAATAAATTCGGTATTGAACTTACACTCATTCAATATCCTCTATATATTATAGTATATTCATATCCTTTTATAAAAACACGAACACAAGTCGATACGCTGCTGAAATTTTAAACTATATAGTTGATTAAAGATAAATGTTTCAAGAAAAAAAATATGTTTATTCATTACAGATGTTGCAGCGCCCACGACAAATGTCTTTCAACAACGAACAGATTTCATTGTCTTCCGTTCTTTTACTTCTCTTATTATATATTGCCATACAGTTGGTACATGCAAGACGGTCACATCCAGTGCGGTAAGCGTTAATCAACATAATTAAATGTAACAATCGTTTTCTAAGACCACGGTTGATTAAGTGAGCACAAATAAAATAGTATACAGAAACAGGATATAGTATACGAAATAGGATATATTGTACAGGAAAAAGGATATAATGTAAATAGCAGGATATAGTGTACATAAAACTATAGTGTGCATGAAACAGGAGTACGAGAAACATGATATAGTGTACCGGAAACATGATATAGTGTACAGAAAACATAATATAGTGTACAGGAAACGTGTTATTTCTTTTATTCCTAAAGCAGAGTAGTAACAGAAACTGGCGTGTCATCAAATAAACTGTTATGATATTTTAACTTCCTTTCATTGCAGCTCCAACTAATACACGATGTGCACAAGGGCTATGCGACTGTGACAGACTCTGTGCTGAATGTTTTGCCAAGTACGACAATGAATATAATCCAGCTCTGAAAAGACGATTAAATATAATGGGATGACAATAAAAGATCTTAACTACAGTTTTCTTCCTCTTGTTTTTAACAACGTTATACTGTAATATATAAGGGATAATGTCATTGCGAGAAATTAATCTGAATATCATCTTATATTAAACTTTGTAGACTGCTTAATGTTTCATGGTTATTCAGCACTTTTTCATATTTCTTCAAATAACACCAGAAATTATAAAACACCTAAACATCTGAACAATCTTTTTGACGTAAAGTATAAAATTCATAGAATTATAATCGCATAAAACCATGTAAATAAATAAATATTGGTGTAATATATTTTCATGGAAAAATCAAATCCTCTGTAAATTTAAGTTCGAAATCCCAAACACACTGTTTTTGTTTGATATATGTAATAACCGTTAAAGTTGTGTCGTCTTAATTCGGGATTTTTGCATTTAAATTTTCACACGTTTAAGATTTAAGAAAAACACTAAAAATCTTTGAAACTTATATAAGATTTGAAAAGTTGTGTCATAAAATAAAAAAATGGGCAAATAATATGTTGTGACCTCACGCCTGCTATAAATACTTTTTCTTTATTCACAACTGTTTTATTGAACCTCTGACAACCTGTGCATGCGCAATGATGGAATGAACTGTTAACCGCTCAATATTTTTAAATGTTACACCCTTGTCAATGGGTACTTCCGTTTATGCCTTTAGCAAATATTCGGTAAGCAAACGTCGGTATAGTGTTGTTTTTTTATAGAACAAACCAGAACATACTCTTTATTTGGAAAACACAGATCAGAAAATCAAACCTCTGTAGGAATCAGTGCCAACGTTTTTCAGTGATATTGTATTGGCATTGTGCAAAGTACACTTTACAGTCAACACAGTCGTACATAAAAAATGTTATTATTTTATTAGTTAGCATGTATATTATAGTTTAATTGCAAAGTATTAGGTTATAAAACAGTTATTTTTCATGGGTGTTTGTGGAACAGTCAAAACTGTTTTTCACGGTATCACGGATGACATTTTGAACTGTTGACCTCGGTCTTCAGCGTCTGGCAAAAGTTCCGTATGTCATCCCTGATACGTCGGAGCAAAGTTTTCCATATACATTCATGAAATAACTGTACAGTTTGTTCAACAGGGAACAACTAATTAAATGCTGCCAATACAAAAAATATTTACAATACAATACAAATACTTTATTTCGCCTTAATCATCCATGCTGTAATCATCAATGACTGGATGAATGCCAATCAAATCAAAATGAACACCACTAAGACAGAATTCATTATGTTTGGTAGTAAAGACCAACTTGGTAAATGTTCAATTAAAGAACTTGATATCTCCGGAGATAAAATTCAAAATATCAGTGTCATAAGATACTTAGGTGCCTACTTAGACGAAGGCGTAAGATTCTCAACACATGTTTAGACCAAGTGTAGAACTGCCATGTTAAATTATTTGAGAATAAAGAGCATTCGCAAATATCTGACTCAGGACGCTACAAAAATCCTAGTATTGTTGCTTGTAATCTAACATTTGGATTATTGCAACGCTATGTTGTTTGGCATTTCAGAAAGGGAGTTACAGAAATTACAGCGTATACAGAATATGTGCGCAAAACTTGTTTTGCAACGCGGTAAATAAGATAGCTCCAAAGACTCTTTTTTTTAACTGACTTGGTTACCAATTAAAGCTAGAATCAATTTTAAGATACAATGTACAATGTTAACTATTTCATAGGCAATGCTCCGGTTTGTCTAACAGAACTGTTTCACAAACCTGTCATAAAAAGACCAAATCTCAGATCTGTTGATAATATGGATTATTGTGTTTTGCTGTCCCTTTTAACAAAAAGAGATCATTTAACGACAGAAGTTTTTAGTATCGTTGGTCCAACACTCTAGAATAAATTGCCTCTGTATATAAGACAGTCTTCGACTTTGGACATGTTCAAGAAAAATGTCAAAACCTACTATTTTAGAGATTTTTACGCATTGTTTTAAGATTGTGATTGGGCTGTAAACTGATCGAGATGTGGAAATGTGTTTAAAATTTTACTAAAAGAACCATTAATTTTTATGTTCTTTTAAAATATTTTTTATCATTATTTTTAATAACTATTCTTATTTTTTTAAAGTACGGCTGATTTCTTTTACTTATTTTTTTTGTAGTTCATTTGTCATGCATATGTGATTTTTTATCTATAAGTACATACTTTTATTATCCTTTTGTACAACGCCATTGAATATGTATATAGAAATAGGCGTTTAATTAAATAAAACAATTTCAAGTTTCAGTTTCGCTTTCGGCCAATGTAAAACAGGTAAACAAAGAAACAATTTACACAATAGATAGCATGTGCATAGTGTTCTATATATCTAACTGAAAAATGAAAGTTAGTGGCCAGACACGAAATGTGACCTTAACCTCCAAGGTTGCAACCCAAATGTTGCTCGCGACACATTGTCTCAACATGGTGATCATTTCTGTGAAATAGTTTTAAAATCCAACTTCAAATAACGAAGTAATGGGCCGGACACGATTTTGCTACAAAGTCATGCTGTGACGTTGGCCTTCAAGGTAGCGAGTCAAATGTTGCGCGCAACACGTCGTCTCAATATGATGATTATTTCTGTGAAATAGTTTTAAAATCCGACTTCAAATAACGAAGTTATGGACCGGACACAATTTTGCTGCAAAGTCATGCTGTGACCTTGGCCTTCAAGGTAGCGATTCAAATGTTGCGCGCAACACGTCGTCTCAATATGGTGATAATTTTTGTGAAATAGTTTTAAAATCCGACTTCAAATAACGAAGTTATGGACCGGACACGATTTTGCTGCAAAGCCATGCTGTGACCTTGGTCTTCAAGGTAGATAGTCAAATTTTGCGCGCAACACGTCGTCTCAATATGGTGATAGTTTCTGTGAAATAGTTTTAAAATGCAACTTCAAATAACGAAGTTATGGACCGGACACGATTTTGCTGCAAAGTCATCCTGTGACATTGACCTCAAAGGTAGCGACCCAAATGATACGTGCGACACGTTGTCTCAATATGGTGATTATTTCTGTGAAATAATAAGTAATAGTATGTTTCTTTTTTTTCTTCCGTATTTGTTTTTTGTTTGTTTAGTTTTACATTTCCTTTTTACTTTGTTGTGTATATAGAGCTCCCAGTAAACCCGTAGCTTTCTGGAATGATTTTGGAATAATGATTGACAATGCTTTAGATAAATATGAAAACATAGCAATTGTAGGTGGCATAAATGAGAACCAACTAATAGACAATACTTTTCTTAAACAAATCATGCTTTTATAAATCTTACAAATGTTATTTCGTCACCAACTAGAGTAACAAACTCAACATCTACACTTATAGACCCTATACTCATATCTTTTGGTTTAATATGTTTACATAGTGACGTGTTACCAGTTCCTTCTAACATTAAGCCTCGGTCTCACTTACTCCCGGCAGAGCCCAGGACCAGTTACCGGGATGATCCAGGTCGATCCGGGATGAAATTATTGTTGCGGTCACACTTACCCCGGCAGCACTACGATAGTTCCCTACTAACCACACAGGATGCGCTCCGGATCATCCAGGCAGAGCCCAGGTGAAGCTACGGTTCATTCCGGTGCTTTCCCGGTTGTTCCCGGATGACGCAGGAAGAGCCCCGGTTGACCCAGGCAGAGCCCAGATCGATCCAGGCAGAGCCCAGATCGATCCAGGCAGAGCCCCTGAAGAACCCCGGTGGATTGAAAACGCCCGAAAATGATAACATTGATACATAATTTTTATTTAATATAATATCTATTGTTCCAATTCATGATAATTTTCTGAAAAATCCTTATGCCATACTGGATAGAAAGGAAATGGGAAGACTTTAAATACTAACAAGTAAAATCATCGCAAATTATCATTATTCTTTTGAAATGATCAGGGCTTTGCCGGGGCTCTTCCAGGATCAACCGTAGCTCTACCTTTATCCTCCGGGGCTCTGCCTGTATTTACCGGGGCTCTGCCGGCATATACCGGGGCTCTACCGAAGCTCTGCCGTAGCTCTACCGGCTATATCATAGATAGATAGATAGATTTATTTCAGTATTCAGTAAATAACATGGTAAAAACATATCCAATACATGATAAAACAATAAAAAACAAATATCAATGTAAAGAAATGCACCATATCAAAAACATCATACCAAGGATAACACAAAAAAGAGAACTAAATCTCTTATTTCCATTGTGGTCCTTATATACTGATGGTTTTGACAAAGAGAGGCATGAAAATGACTTATCACAGTTTTAAATTTAAGAAAGACAAAAGTATACATAAAATTTTCAAATTAAAATAAATTAAAAAAATAATAAATATTAAGACTAGAGGATAGACACCCTTAAAAGAGATAATTACCCATTAAGTAAATGTTTTTTAACAGATAATTTAAAATTGTATAATTTTGATTCCATCCTAATAGAAGAGGGTAGTTTATTCCACAATACACATCCATTGTAAGCAAAAGACTTTGATCCGAAACCTTTGACCTTAGGTAGCATATAACAACCACTTTCACTTGACCTGGTCCTGTAAGTATGAACAGAATCTAATGGAATAAAGTTTTCTCCCATATATTCAGGGGCAAGTGCATGTTTTATTTTAAAAACATTACATAGAATGATTTGATCAACTCTTTTCTGGACAGGTAGCCAATTTAAAATTTTAAAGTGTTCATTATCAATATGTGACATATAACCAAGATTTAGAACAAATCTTATCAATTTATTTTGTGTGACTTGGAGTTTATCCTTCCAGTATTTAGTAACCCCAGGAAACCAGAAACAACATGCATAATCAAAATGACATTGGATGAGGGCCATAACCAGAAGATTTTTAGTGTGAAAAGTGAGATAATCACGTTTTCTATACAGAAACTTTAACCTTGCATTGGCCTTTTTAATAATAGAACTTGCCATTGCTTCACCGCAGAGAGACTGATCAAGTGTTGCACCTAGATATTTGACATTAGAAGTTGACTGTATATCAGTCCCTTTACAACTGACATGAAGAGATGAACCTGTTTTTAACCTATGTTTAGAGCCAAATAAGATTGTCTCTGTTTTGCCTAAGTGAAGGGAAAGTTTATTGTCAATTAACCATTGACTGACAGAATTT